AAGCCGACAGAAAAGCTACGCAGTCTTTTGTAGGAAGGGCCTTAAGTTTTTCGAGAGTGAATGTTTTCCTATTAGTTGCTTCTATGAGAGGGATGTTAAGATTCAAGAAGAAGAGCTAACGTGAACCCGAGATTCTTAGGCTCCTTTGAGATCTTAGATAGGATTGGGCCAATGCCGTACAAACAGGTGCTGCCACTCACTTTCACTGTCATGCATATTTCATGTGTCTATGTTGCATAAGTACACCTTGGACTCTTTGCATATTATTGAGCATGAAATACTCCCTTTGAGAGAGGTTCTGTTTTATGAAAATAAGCTTATCAAGATTCTCGTAAGGGATCTGAAGTGTTGTATCTGAGATTCTTAAGGTCTTATGGAGGAATCATCAAGACAATGAGGTAGCCTTGGAGAGAGACGAGGACATGAGTATATCATATCCCAAGGTTTATAAATATTAAGTAACTTTTGGAGACAAAAGTTGAGTGGAGAATTATTCGTAACACGAGGTTAAGAAGGTAAGAATCCTCTTAACTTTTTCTTTTAGTATTCCTCACTTATAAACCCATGATCATTCCCTAAATTAGCCTACGTGGGATTTCCATCCTCCAACATCTCCCCTCGAACAAAGTGCGCCTCCCCTTAATCGAGGCTCGACTTCTTTTCTCTTGGAGTTTTTTGTTCGATATTTGAGGATTTACCCATCTATTGGCACGACTAAGTGGTTCTGATACCATGTTATAGGAACACGACTCTCCATAATGGTATGATATTGTCCACTTTGAACATAAGCTCTCATGGCTTTGCTTTGTGCTTCCCCAAAAGGCCTCATGCCAATGGAGTTAGTATTCCTCACTTATAAACCCATGATCATTCCCTAATTTAGCCCGGACTTCCATCCTCCAACGAGCTCAACACTAGAACAACCAATAATAGAGTAAATTTCATGTATAAATAAAGAAAATTAGGTAACATTTTGGGACAAGAAGAGAGGATCGAGAGGAGCTAAATCATAAGTAATGAACCTCAACTCTATATAAGTTTAATAATCCTGGATTCTTTAAAATTAAAAAATTACAATTAATTTCTACGCCTTCTAAATCAAGTTTGATAAGGGTTGAAGAGCTAAAAATGGCCCAAACAAGTTCCCCGTTTCAACTAGTCATGATAGTATGGAAAGATATTTTTTAAAATCTAGTTGGAATCCAATCTGGTTGTTGGACACTCGAGGAGCAATTTTGATGAAGACTACGAATGCTAAAGAGTTCAAGAATGTGGGTAACTGAAGGAAGTTTTAATCGGATTCGTTTTTTATGAATTCGAGGGAAACTCCAAATTCTTCATCCACGGTCCATGAAGCTTCAATCAAAGGATATCATTAGTTTTGTGGTAATGAGAGGAGAAGGTTTATGAAAACATAGTGAGCTGAGGAAGCTTGTATCGAGTTGCCCAATGAGCCTTAATTCTGCGCGAAAATGGGTAAGAGATCCGAGAACTTCATTGTCCTCCCAAAACCATTTCTTATGCTTGAGGGGAAGAAGATGAGAAGAGATCTCATGAAAGAATCTAAGACCAGATAATGTCCAAACGTCCCGACCAATAAAAAGCTTTTAAATTTTTACTCCGATGTGGGATCTCATAAATCCACCACTCTTCGGGGCCCATTGTCCTCGTTGGCACTCGTTCCCTTCTCCAATCGTTTAAGGCCCAACAATGAAAAGTTTTTAAATTTTTACTCCAAGGTGGGATCTCACAAATCCACCACTCTTCGGGGCCCAATGTTCTCACTGGCATTCATTTCCTTCTCCAATCGATACCCCTTCAAGGCCCAACCAATGAAAAGTTTTTAAATTTTTACTCAAATGTGGGATCTCACAAATCCACCACTCTTCGGCGCCCAATGTTCTCACTGGCACTCGTTCCCTTCTCCAATCGATGTGAGACTCTCCAAATCTACCTCTTTCGGTGCCTAGCGTCCTTGCTAGCACATCACTCTGTATCTGGCTCTAATACCATTTGTAATGCCCTACCCCCACCGCTAGCAGATATTGTCCTCTTTGGGCTTTCCTTTTCGGGCTTCCCCTCGAAATTTTTAAAACGCGTCTGCTAGGGAGAGGTTTTCACAACCTTATAAAGAATGTTTCGCTCTCCTCCCCAATAGATGTGGGATCTCACAGCTTTGGTTATGGTTTAAATTGGGAAAACTCAATGGCTATACTTAAGACACATGCGTGAAGCAACCACGTGGTTACACGTGTAGAACCCTCCTTGGCCACGTGTAAGGTTCGTGAGTCGGTTGATTTTTCTACGATTTGACCTATGTTTGACTATTTTCGATCCAATTTTGATATTAATCATAATATATGACTTGAATTAGAACTAGTTTGAGGAATTTCTGGAGATTTGAGGCATCAAACGAGTGGAAACAAGATCAACTAAGGCACACATGATCAAGTAAGTAGCCGTAGTTGTGAGGACGGTTATGATATGCTAGCATGAACTACCTTATATAGTGAGAAAACACATGATTATGGCATTGAATGAGTTGAATTATGAGCATATTATATATATATATATATATATTTTGTCTACAAAGGACTAAAACGCCCTTATAAAGAGATGTTAGAACATTATGTTATATAAGATAATTTTTGTTATGCTAGGACTTTGATATGAGTTTAAGAACTATTCTCTAGGTGATAGACTTATAGGTCAAAATGGTTTTAGTAGACCAAGCACTTCAAGATCGTGAGAAGCAATTAGAAAGTTGAATTTTAGTGCTCCCATAACTAGACTAGCTCTAAGAGCTAATCCAGAGAGTCATGGGATGAGAGTCCAAGATATAAATCGTCAATAGACCCAACAAACCTAGTTAACCTCCACAAAACACATAAAAGATTGAGACAACTTTTTAGGCATGCTAGTAGCTGAGAACGATATCACTAGAGCTAGACTTTTTCCAATTTCCTCTTATACAATATGAATGCTTTTAAGTGACCTAGACTTAACCTAATAGTACTCCTATCGAGCGATAGACATTTAGAAACTCGTAATATTGAGATTGACCTAGATTGATCAAATAGGAAAGTGTACCGAGGTGATTTTAGGTGCCTCTATTGTGTGTGAAAATGGACAAGGGTCTTATGAACAGGATCATTGCTTTGTAAACTCATACTAAAAGGGGACGAGGGACCACACATGTAGACTTAGTAGTTGGCCGGCACGGAGTCAATCCCCTAGATTCAATGTTTATGGTTATGTGGAAGGGTTGCTAATTAACCTTATAAAGATCATGTTCAGAAGAGATACTGTCCATTAAGAGATGATATGTTGAGCCCGCACCTTCCAAGTCTAGGATACCGATGATTCACTTCCATAGTAATGTAAGCTAGTTAAGTCTGAAAAATAAAAAAGTTGGTTCACTCTAGAACTTAGCTATGTTGTCCAGTAGATCTGCAATGTCGATTTGCTTTTGTGACATGCATGGAAACCACGTGAAGCTTTAGGTTCTCCTAAAAGCTCAGATAATTATAGAACTTAGGTCTAAGCTTCCTAGAGCCTAGATGAAAACCCGTGGTAACATATTAGCTCAAGGATGCAATTAGAGCTTACAAGTAGGTTGTTTATTGAGAATGTTTATACTCACGAGGTATAAACTTTATTTTTTAAGTGACTGTTGATTGCTGGTCGAAGTGAGAGAACGCTTGGGAGTTGCACCGTCATAGAGAAGGATCGTCTTGAGACTTCAGTCCTTCTGTGTTAGGGGTTGTCGTCTTGAGACTCTACTATTGGTTGTACATGTTTTATGCTTCGTTCTTTAACTCGTTCGTATGTAACTACTTATATATTCTTTACCATGGATTTAAGAATAAATGTTGGATTTAGCTTTCCAAGTTGTTCCAAATGTTCTATTTAGACCTCAAATTCAAATTATTTCAAAATTTTAATTAGTTTTATAAATGGAAAGGCTTTTGTTTAGTTTACTTGAGCTTCTACTTATAGAAAGTTCATGATTTGCAAAAATGTATAATCGATCCAGTCGTATTTATGTCCGTCGAACTATCAAAGATCGATCAGTCAATTTTTTTTTTTTTTTTTTTTACCAATTTAAAGATTTTATTAATAAAGAATAGGGAAATCATATTTTCTTTAGAATATTCAAGCCCTCAAATTTTGGAAAGATAATAGATAGTGTGTGGAAGGAGAAGAATCTTTGACTTTGAAAATAATATTATAAAATTTAAGATAGCTTAAATAAGAAATTTGAATTTATCGTAAAAACTATTATAACTTATAAAATTTTTTTGCCGTTTCTTAATTTTCATTTCACTTCTTCACAAAAATTTATGAAACTGACCCTGTTAGCAACCGTTCATACATAATTTAATGGATAAGATACAAATCGTTATCTAAAGGTCGACAGTTCAAATTCTTATCCCACGAAAGATGGGTTTAAATCTCTGATATCTTAGTTAATGGCATATACCTCAATCATTTGATCTAGAGATTCAAATGGCCGACCTCGTACCTCACTGTAAAAGAGGGATGAGACTTCTTATTTTGAATATTTCTTGTTTGCTTGCTTGCTTCACTCCTTCCTTCCCCTCGTCTGAGATTACCTAGTCGAGTCAATGAAATCCTCGTTAGCTTGGTAAATAGGTTAAAGGTTCTTTCTCTCTCCAAATTCTTCTTTCTGATTTGAAGGCGAAGGGGAAATTGTCACATGATTGATCTCGATACCTTTGAATGAATTTTCATTGAAAAAAAAAAGCCCTGATGTTCATATTTGATCGCTTGATAGGAGTAAGTACTTGTTGTTCGTCAAAGCTGTAGCTTACTATCTACTAAACGAGCCTTCATTACCCGCCCCGCTCAGCCGTTGAAGAGAATTGGGTTGAAAAATAAGAATAGAAGCCGTAGCTTGCTATCTAGCCTTCACTACCTGTCTTTGCATTTGGGTCGTCTTTGCATTTTCAAACCTTACAATTCAACTCTCTCTCTCACATTTGGAACCATAACTCTCTCTCCTCTTTGCCGGTTTCACTTTTGCTTTTAACCCCTCTTCTTCACGTTACTCTTTTCTCATTTCCCCTGCTTTTTCCCCTTCTACCCTTCTCTCTTCTTCCGTTATTCATCCCCAAATCGAAATTGGGGTTGCAGGGTTTACGATTTCGCGACCTGGGTTTGCTTTTTCTTAGCTCTTCAAACGGTAAGGAGTTTCTTTTGATCCCAAAAACTGTGTTATTTTCCTCAGATTGTTCTTACAGATGGCGCAGAAATCTCTGATCTACACTTTTGTCTCTCGCGGAACCGTGATTCTCGCTGAGTACACCGAGTATAGTGGGAATTTCAATTCCATTGCTTTTCAATGCCTCCAGAAATTGCCCTCTGCTAATAACAAATTCACCTACAATTGCGATGGCCACACCTTCAATTATCTCGTCGACAACGGTTACAGTAAGTCCTACTCGTTTCCCCCCTTTTTCTTCGTTGTTGAATTTTGCTGACGGCTTGAAGAATTATTGTTCTTATTTTCCCTTTGATTTGTTATTGGGTTTCGTTTCTGATTGTGAGATCTTGAGAGATGTTGCTAGTAGGGATGTTTTTGAAAGAGGAGTTTCTTGATTTCTCACTATTTAGCCGATTTTTGTTAAAGAATCCGGATCCGTCGTTGATACCCTGTTGAAATTTTTGTTTGGATGCCGAGAAAATGGAGATTTATGCAAGTTTAATTGTTTGAGCATCCTTTTCTTTTTGCATCGTCTGTTCTATCTCCTATATTTAACTTATTACCATTGAGAGTTATGTGTAAATCCTTGTCCTCTTGGGCTTTCCCTTTCGACGTGGCTACTAGAGAGAGGTTTCTACACCCTTATAAAGGATGCTCTGTTCTCCTCCCCAACCGATGTGGGATCTCACAATCTACCTCCCTTCGGGACCAGCGTCCTCTTAGTCCACCTCCCTTCGGGGTCTAGCGTCCTTGTTGGCACACTGCCTCGTGTCTACTCCCCTTTGGGGCTCAGCCTTCTCGCTAGCACATCGCCCGTTGTCGGGCTCTGATACAATTGTAACGGCCCAAGCCTACCGCCAGCAGATATTGTCCTAGGCTTTTCTTTTCAGGCTTCCCCTCAAGGTTTTTTTAAACGCGTTTACTAGGGAGAGGTTTCCACACCTTTATAAAGGATACTTCGTGTTAAAATATTATCACTAGCCCAATAGGGTCAAGCCCAACCATTGTATGAGTGACCATATTTTAAGAAAATGATTTAGGATTTTAGGAATAAATTTAGGAAAATGATTTAGATACAAATGTTTAGAAATTTTAGGAATAGATTGCCTAGTATAAATACTACCCCTCCACCCTACTTAGTTCATCATCCCAAGAAGTCTCCAGCAATACAAAACAGTAGTATTCTACATAAAGTGTCTTGTATTCTCTTCTCGATTGGTCTTAATAAATTGTGCGAGTGTTTCCCACAAAGAGTTGTGTTCAACACTTCGTTTTCCTCCCCAACCGAGGTGTGATCTCACATAAGGGAAGGGAAAAGGAGTCGAGATGTATTTGTAGCTTATATGGGATTAAAATTTTCTCCCCTTCCGTTGTTCCGAAATAGGTTACCTGTAAAAGTAGACAAACTCAAGGATGGAGCATATTATTATTGTTCTTATTTTGGCAATGGAGTTCAATTATAAAAATTATTGTTATTTCTATCTTGAGCCATCAAGGGTTTAAATTGGGAGCTATCAGTTTTGAATTAGGATGCAATTCTGATAGCTTAGTTTATTAGTTACTTCACTCATTCATAATTTTGTTACATTTCTCATTCATAATTTTGTTACATTTCTCATTCAAAATTTATCATAGTTCTTTTTCTGTAAACTGCCCCTAATATCTGTGTTCATCACTATTCTTCTAAGGTTTCAATTTCATGCGATTGACACTAAAATTCGTTAGCAAATCGATAATATGACATACAATATACTTAGCTGTTGCTTTAGAATAATCCCGTGTTTTAATTTAATGATATGGAGATGAGAAACCGACACATAAATGTGGAAACGATAGAGCTGTTGCAATACTACCAATTGATTCTCACATTTAAAAATACAAAATTTAAATTTCTACATAGTCTCTCATGAATAAATTTCTACGTAAATCATATTTTAATGTCTATTTACAGTTATTGGTTTATTAATAAAACTTAATATCAAGGGATAAAATTAGAACTTCAAGAATTTTAGGGATGGGGATTAAATCAAAAAATGCCATGTACGTAAGGGACAAGCTATATATTGAGTTAAAGGAACATACATATGACAAAATTAAGGACGATGTTTATTAGAAAACCCTCTAATTGGCACAAACACACTGTTGCATGATACAACTTGGATTAGTCATATACATCTCAACATGTGATGGGACAAGAACATGCCACATACGAAGAAAACTTAAAGATGGGTCACTTGGCCACGCTTAGACATGATCTGATTTGGGGATTATATGAACTTGACTTGATGTATCGGTTTTGACTCATGATTCAAATTGTGTCTGTTTCGGTTTAGATGGTTGACAATGAAGAAGACTTACGATATATTGCTATTTCTTGGTAGTTTGTGAATGCTGCAGCCCTTTCTTTTGTACTCTCTCACAACGTATACCTTTGAGAAATTGTTTAATCTTTTCCCCTTGACCGAATGTTTTGTTTAAGTTACCCTTTTATGTTCTTGATTGGAACACATTTCTTTAATCGTGTTCCTTTTGTGGACTTGGTTTTTTTTGGATGTCCTTGCATTCTTTCATTTTTTCCTCAATAAAAGCACGGTTTCTTATGAAAAAATCTTGTTTTTTTTTTAATACCTTTTTATATTCTTGAATAAAATAATGGTTTGTGAGATCCCACGTCGTTAGAAGAGTCGTTAGAAGAGGGGAACGAAACATTCATTATAAGAGTGTAGAAATCTCTTACTAGCAGCGTTTTAAAAGTCGTAAGGGGAAACCCAAAATGGAAAGCCAAAGAGGACAATATTTGTTAGCGGTGGACTTGGGCTGTTACATGGTTTGACCCTTAAAAGGTTCTTCCTGATTGCTTAAAGCTAAAACCCTAAGGAAAATTTTCATTTTCATATCATTGATGAAATAGTTTGATTTTCTATATGTACTTTTCATGGTTTACTTTGAGTCATCGAAAAATAAGGTTTTCCCTTCCGCCCTTTTCTTTTTTCCATATGAGATAGTTGGCTTTTCTGTGCCAGTATTACATTAACTAGTGAATTTTAACCAAAAAGTCATACTTGTGTTTTCTTTTGTATTGCAGCATACTGTGTCGTTGCAACTGAATCAGCTGGAAGACAAGTGCCAATTGCATTTTTGGAGCGTATTAAGGATGATTTCGTGTCGAAGTATGGTGGGGGAAAGGCTGCCACAGCTCCTGCCAATAGTCTTAACAAGGAATTTAGGTATTTGATAAAGTACTTGCTGAAAATGGTTTATAGAACATTCATTATTGATTAACCATAATTTTATTTATAGGTCAAAGCTGAAGGAACATATGCAGTACTGTGTTGATAATCCTGAAGAGATCAGCAAGCTTGCAAAGGTGAAGGCTCAAGTTTCAGAAGTGAAAGGTGTTATGATGGAAAATATTGAAAAGGTATGCATTCAATTTTATCTTATCTTGCACAATCTTGGAAGCTCTCTGGATGTTTATAGTGGACGAAAACTTTAGATCCCTTTCTTGAACATTTTTTTGAAGTAGTAGCCTCGAGGTTTCTTTCTCTGGTCACTTCTTCCAACTATTCTCTTCAAACAAAAGTGGAACGTTTCTCTTTCGTTATCGTCAGAACTTAATTCACACTTTCCAAAACATTTCGAACACTGTTTTCCACTTGAATTTTAGGTTTGAATTACCTTTGGCTTGCCTAGAGCATATGTCTTTGTTCTTTTGTTTTTGTTTTTTAAAATTCAATCTACAATTACTAAAATAACAAAATAGAGTTATATTTTGTGAGATCCCACGTCGGTTGGGGAGGAGAACGAAACACCTTTTATAAGAGTGTGAAAACTTCTCCACGCGTTTTAAAAACCTTGAGGGGAAGTCCAAAAGGGAAAGCCCAAAAAGGACAATATCTGCTAGCGGCGGGCCCGGGCTGTTACAAATGGTATCCAGAGCCAGACACCGGGCAATGTGCCAGCTAGGAGGTTGTTCCCCGAAGGGGGTAGACTTGAGGCGGTGTGCCAGTAAGGACGCTGGGCCCCAAAGGGGGTGTTAGGATCGCACAATAACGCACACGCTTGATCTAGATGAACACAAAAAAAAAGGATAGAGAAAATTGCAAGGAGAACTCTTGTTAAAAGGATTTTTTTATTGATGATTTCAGGTATGTACAACAAGAGATAGTACAGAGAATAGAAAGTACGTTTACAAAGCTTTACTGGACCGGATATATATATGGTTCAGTCTACTAAATATAGCTTTACCAGATTTAACCATCTACTATATATAGCTATTTACCATATATAGCTTTACCGGATATAGCCGTTGACCAAGCTATAAATACAGGGAGCAGACTCCATAACTCAACAGGGGTGGATTTGGTGGGGTCCAACATCGATTGAAGAAAGGAACGAGTGTCCGTGAGGATGCTGGACCCCGAAGGGAGGTGAATTTGGTGGGGGTCCAACATCGATTAAAGAAAGGAACGAGTGTCAGCGAGGACGCTGGGCCCCGAAGGGAGGTGGCTTGGTGGGGGTCCCTCATCGATTGGAGAAAGGAACGAGTGCCTGCAAGGATGCTGGGCCCTGAAGGGGGTGGATTGTGAGATCCCATATCGGTTGGGGAGGAAAATGAAACACCCTTTATAGTGATGTGGAAACCTCCCACTACCAGACGCGTTTTAAAAACCTTGAGTGAAAGCCCAAAGAGGACGATATAACCTTGAGGAAAAGCCCAAAGAGGACAATATATGCTTGCAGTGGGCCTGAGCCGTTACATATTCTCACATGAACAAGTCAAAATGAACAAGTCAAAAGAGATTGAAAAGGCTCTTCAATGGGCATGAATAAGCTTCCAGCTTTGTTCTGAAAGTAGTAAAACTGGGATTTTCTTATTATTACGAGGATTATACCGTAAAAAAGTAGACTGCTAAATGTTGCTAGAAAAGTGACAGTTTAAGAACAAATGCTCTTGGTCTTCACTTAGATAGGATGCATCAGTGGGGTATCGATACAAGGTTTAGGTTCTTCAGATCTTATCAAGAGAGGGGGATCGGTAATATCACTAGTCTTAGGAATCCAGAATTTCCTGCCTAAGAAAACTCCTCACGAAGGACTACGAGTCCGTTAATTTAGTAATTCAACATAGGTCTGCGCATATATCTTTCAACTTCCTGTACAAAATTGAACGCCTCGACCATAAGAAGATCAGGCTGATTTGTTTTTTAAAGAATCAATAACCGCAGGGAAGATGAGACAGCCATCCTAGCCAAATTTATTGGAGATCCCAGAAACACTTTCCATTGAGAGTATGACGAAAGCATTGAAAAGAGTATCCCAGTTAGAGGCATTAAAGGAAACAATATACTTCATTTTTATTTGAAATCATGCTTTCATGGAGAAGGAATGAAAGAATACAAAGGGCATACAAAAAGAACGCCCAACAAAGGAGCCAAAGTGGAGCTTCAATCTATCAAAATGAAACTTAAAGGAAAATTACACAAGTATCTCCTAACTTAAGGCTAATCCTTCGACAGAGAAGAAACTCCTCTACCATGGAATTACACTCTTAGGGTTGAACCCAATAAAGGAAACAATTTACTTTGAATTTACAATATATGTTTCCTGCCTGTGGAATGTTATTCTGTTTCCTTCAAACCAGAATTAAAACAAAAGCTACGATAATGTTGATTGGCCTGTTGTTCTTAAAGGGTTGATCCACAAACAACTGGAAGAAATTCTCTAATATTACTTGATCAGACCACAGTCAGTAGAGCGCTGTTATCTTGTTCCATAGGAGTTTCTGAGTAAGAGTAGAAGGGTTCAAATGATTAATAAAGTTTTCTTGCATATAATACTTTGAGCTGAGGATAACTCATGCAAGGTTCTTAAATTAACACAAGTGTTCATATCACTCTTAAGAAAAACCTGGAAAAAGCATTTGGAATTACTTGATTTCCATTGTTAGCCAGTTATAATATTTGCCCGAAAATGTTTTTGAATTTTCAAGAAGCCACATATCAGTCTCAACTTCAATGCAAGTTGAAACTTGCCTCGAAGTCTAGCATCTTGGTGCACTACTCAACCTCTCTATCGTTTGTGTTTCTTTTAAAACTCTAGGAGCTGTGATGGCTGCCCTGATTCTGAAGTGTTATAAATGTTGGAACCTGTTCAGCGGTCTTTTATTATGCTAAGTATCTTCCTAAAAGATGGTGTTATCATTCACCAAATGTGACCTATCCTGAGATTGTACGTTTGAAATGAAAGTCGGGGGCAATTTTAGCTTTCCTACCGAGGTTGTGTGATGAATTCCCAGCCCTCTTTCCGTCTGCCGCTTCTGATTACTAATGAAAACTATTGTGTAGATTGGAAAAGAACTTGACTTGGTTTAATTAAAAAGAAAAATGAATCAAAATCCAGTTATCTTCTTTTGTCAAAGCTCCTCATGGTTTTTGGCCTTTGATGTATCTTGAGGTGGCTTCTGAAGGGAAATCCCTTTTCTTCAAAGTTTCGGAAGTTAGCGGTCGAAAGAATCCTCGACAATCTGAAATTGGATAAATGTAATGTCTTCCAAGGGTAGGAGGCTTAGGCATTCCATGGCAATTTGTTCTAGTAATCCTGCTCGCTATCATTTTTCAAAATCCCTACGCTCGAAGGTATCGGATTTCTCGGAGAAGGAGATTAGGAATTTATTCTGGTAGGGAGCCTAGAATCTCAGGAGGTTGTTATTTAATTATAATCTCCTTGATTCATGCCACTGGAACTTTTTTCATAATTTTCTTTAGCTTGTAAGAGATTCCTTATCCCCTTATCGTTGGTATCTTAGACATTATTTTAATGAAAGTGTCGGTTCCGTGTAAAGACAAAGAAGGTATAGGTATACCATAATGGTTACGATGTTAAGATGTCCTGGTTGGCGCGCATTGCACCTCGATATCTATACCTCATGGGGCATAATATGATTTCCTTATGTTTCTTTCTGCTGTTCTTGCCATTTTTGAGGGTTGTTTTCTTCACCCTTTTTTAAGAGGTAAAAGGAGACGTGGCAAATTGCCCACGATCGAAATATGTCAAAACAAATAAGTGAAGCGGAAGAAAAATTTGAAGAAGGAAGAGAGCTTTTGAATAGAGGAACCTTAAGCTTATTCATTGCTTTTGAATAGAGGAACCTTAAGCTTATTCATTCTTCTTTCTTTGTTGTGAAAATAACGTACATCTTATGAACTTCCGTTCCTAAACGTTCTCTTGAAACTAAGAAGGAGATTGCACTCGATTAAGGAGATCTCTTAACTTTCAAATCAATAACTACTAAATCTTCTTAATCGATCTCCTAAACTTTCAAATCAATAACTACTAAATAATTATCCAAAAATTGACAAATTGATCTAGGTTAGTTTTTGCTAACTCAAGCTTATTAACTCACAAGCTGGTAGACTCATTTTGTACCTTCGTTTAGCGTGTAATGGGTTGTTCAATCCCCCTCCCCTTAAAAAAAATCCTGGAAATTTGTAATTGTTAAATCTATAAGGCGTTGGCTGTGTTACATGGCTAGTTGGCGACTGGATGAAGTTATTGAAAAATGTCCGAAACGTGGACGTGGAGCCTTCATCTCATTTTTAATTAAAATGGGGAAAGGCAAGACATGTTGGAAGGAGTCGGGGGCATTTTATTTGCCTCGATTTGGAACTTAATTATCGGGTCGTGGAGTGTGTATGTTACTAATGAAGCGTTATATTAAGTCGAATATCATTTTCCTTGTTCTCATTCATGCTCCTTGTTGATGCAGGTTCTTGACAGAGGAGAGAAGATAGAACTTCTAGTGGATAAGACCGAAAACCTTCATAACCAGGTTTGTGTCATCTCTTTTCCTTTTGGCCCTCATAAATGTGTGAATATGTCATGGATGTATTGACACTTTCCTTTGGCTGAACTATCTTCACATCTGATGAAACTCGATCTAATGTTTCGAAAGGTTTATCGTTCATAGCTATCTTTATCAAGAACGACTAGACGCTTAGGTGCATTACTATGGTAGTTTTTATATTCAATCAGGGAATGTTGTTGTTGTACAGGCACAAGACTTCAAGACGAGTGGAACGAAAATTCGAAGGAAAATGTGGCTACAAAATATGAAGATCAAGTTGATCGTTTTGGGGATTTTGATAGCTTTGATCCTTATCATAGTGCTTTCAGTTTGCCATGGCTTCAACTGTGGTGGAAAATGAAGACTGAAATCTTTTGGCATCATCATATTTTGAGAGCGAGAGAGGTAATATACATGATTTGGCTATATGTATGTAGTAAACGTCAAACAAAGTCCAGTATATCTGTTTTGTTAAAATCCAAATTTAAACGTGAATGATGAGATATCCTATAATATTGAATACTTTCTCTGTTGAAGATGAACATGAGCGTTGAGTTTTTTGAATTGGAGATGAAAATGGGTTATTCCTTGTTATTATTGTCTGCTGTCTATTTATAGTTTAGAGATTGTAGATGATTATATTTGGTGAACTAAAATCATATATATTTCGTGTTCGAAGATATACTTTCTCTATTCTCTTATTCTTTTCGTACATATCTAAAGTTATGGTTACAAAACTATTAGCTAATATTTTTATTTGTATTTTCTCTCTTCTGTTCTTTCTCTTAATTTAGATTGTGTGTCGTGTGATTCTAATATTTATTTATAAGTTCATGGGGGTGTTTTGGATATATATAGATAGTTGTTATAATATCATCACTAGCCCAATAGAGTAAAGCACGATAGAGTAAAGCCCAATAATTGTATGAGTCCATTGTGGATTTAGTGGGGGTCCCACGTCGATTGGAGAAAGAAAGAGTGTCAGCGAGGACGCTGGGCTCCGAACGGTGGTGGATTGTGATGTCCCATATTGGTTGGGAGAACAAAACATCCTTTATAAGGGTGTAGAAACCTTCTCTTAGCCGATGCTGAGGGAAAGTCCGAAAGAAAAAGTCTAAAGAGAACATTATCGGGTCGTTACAATAACCATTTGAAGCTTGGAATAGTTACTAAAATGAACCGGGTGGAGGTGGAATGATCTGCTTCTCTGAATGGTGTCATATCCAAAAGATATTCATGAGGGTATGTTCCATTTGTGTAGGATTGAAAAATAAAGATTTTAACTTTTCAAAAAGAAGAATGGAATGGCCCAAATCATATCATAATCTTCTTTCTTTGTTTCTTTTTCCTATATGAACAAACTCCAATGATGATGAATGGGAAGAAATTAGCCCACACGTAATGAATTGAAAGATATGACCTACCGTCAAAATTTACCGAAACAAATAAATGAACTCGAAAGAATAACTTGAGGAGAGTTTTTTTTAGCCTCTTCCTAATAGGTGTGTTTTAAAACCATGAGACTGATGATGATACGCAACGGGCCAAAGCAGATAATATCTACTAGTCGTGAGTTTTGGCTGTTACAAATGGTAAGGAAGGTAAATTGTTAAATCCCACATCGGTGGTAGAGGGAAACGAAACATTTCTTATAAGGGTGTGGAAACCTCTCCTTAACATACACATTTTAAAATCATGAGGTTGATGATGATACTTAACAGGTCAAAACAGACATTATCTACTAGCGATGGGGCTTGGGCCGTTACAAATGGTATTAGAGCCAAACATCGACAGCGTGCCAGAGAGAACAAAGATTGTTTGGGGAGAAAGCACTAATAAATTTCCTAAAATTTTATCCCTAACTTACTCAAGTTAATGACTATTTACAATTATCATAAAATTGTTAATAACTTCGTTTACAAAAATAGCTTATCATCCTAAAATTGCAAAGATCACCGATCAAACAAGGTAAGTAGAAAGTAGAAATCACAATTGTTTTTGTTCCATGAACGTTTTTTTTTTTTTGGAATATTTAGTAAGAAAAGTGAAGTTTGATTATGATTTCATATGTGATAAGAACATTGTTATCTTTTGGTTAAAGATTGGATGCAATTTCTCCATTTTTTAGGTATGCATTTATTAGTGTTCTTCAAGTCTTCCCATAGTGCTTTCTCTTCCACTCAAAGCTTTCATTTTCAAATACTATCCTTAAAAGAGCTACAAAAAAGCTCCATTCTTTTAAATGGATACATAATGGGTACCCACTAACCCAATATTTGGAGTACACAATACACTATCACTCTCTTCCCATTTTGGGTGGTGGACAAAATGTTGTGTTTCTTTCACATTTTAATCACAAACTCCAATTGAGTGACACATGAGGGTTTGGTATGCACTAAACTTTTTATACAATTATGCACAAAATCCATCAACTTTGATTTCCCTTTTGTTTCCTCACTTACCCACTATGTAATGTGTACATTACTTTTCTTAAAGTAAATAGTACTCCTCTCGTGATCCGATCATAATGTGATTTTCACTAGATGCGTCATAAAAAAAATTAATTTTTGACCTTTTGATCAATCATATATGTCTTAGTTAGTTAAGTTACATTTCGAATTGCATTCTGGTCCTGTATCTGATTGTTATAAGAGCGACAGTGTGCGATCCCACATCTGTTGTAAAATGGAACAAAATATTTTTTATAAGAGTGTAGAAACCTCTCTCTAGCATACACGCTTTGAAAACGTTGAGGGGAAATCCGAAAGGAAAAGCCTAAAGAGGACAATATCTGCTAGCGATGGGCTTGGGCTGTTACAAGTCGTATCAGAGCCAGACACTGGGCAGTGTGCCAGCGAGGAGGTTGAGCCCTAAAAGGGGGTGGACACAAGGCGGTGTGCCAGCAAGAACGTTGGGTCCCGAAGGAGGGTGGATCGTGAGATCCCACATCGATTGGAGAGAGGAATGAGTGCCAGCGAGGATGCTGGGCCAGATCCCACATCCAATCGCATTCCTTATAAGGGTGTGGAAACCTCTCCTTAGCATATGCAATTTAAAAAACTTGAGGGGAAGCCTGAAAGGGAAAGCCCAAAGAAGACAATATTTGTTAGCGGTGGGCTTGGGCCGTTATAGACCGCTTCTTAATTCAACTATACGTATGTTTTTTTTTAAGTGAACAGTATAACCGTTGAAAGTGTCATATATTGTACTTATCAACCTCGTGATCATCGACTATATTGTTAAATCCACATTTTCTTAAAGGGAACAGTACACCCACCAAACTCAAGAAGTCTCTCGGTGAGAGAAACGCGAGATGGGACCGTAGATGTGATGAGGGGTGAGAAAATGTGCCTTAAGAACCAACATGGGACTCTTCAATGTGATGGGAAACTATAAATTCTTGTCCCAAACCAAGTTGTTTGTTGTAGGGGTCCAATGCCTCACTTGGGAAGAAATTTATGAACATAAACAAAATGGGGTTCCCTATCCTCTTCATCATTGATTAATCCATTGAGTTTCCTTCCAATATCGCTAATAAGCTTGAAAACTTGGCATATTATTGCATGTGGGATGAACTAATAAACTTGATTTGATGAGATTTATGTAATATTAAAAACAAAAGGCTTTGATTTGATGAGATTTAAAGTTCATTAGAAGACAACAAAGCTTGACAAATTGGCAATAAGAACAAGCAAGAAAAAGGGTTAGGGGGATGCTTTGTTTGTAGTTATCTCTCGAGTTCTTTGAATGGTCCAATGTTTTGAAATGAACCCAAAAAATTAGGTCGTAATTAATTAATAAAAGTAGGATGTTTACGAGTTTTCATGATGTTCTCGTTTCTTGTTTTTCAAGTTCTTTATTTTGTCTTTGAAAATAGTTTTGTTACTTTATTTCTTATCACCTTTTATAAATTTCGATAACTTATAGTGTTGTTCTGAAATCTCACCAGTTAAAATAGACATTAAGTTTAAGCCAAGTGAACACATTTTGCCAAATTTCTTGAGAAAAACAAGAAACTTCCATTCAAATGAGAAAATCAAGAAACTTCCATTATCAAAGCCCTAGTTTTATATTACTTTTTCCAAAATAATCTAAATCCCAATAAATTATAGGACGAGATGGTGACGAATACAAGAAATCGAGAATAAATCTTTTCTTATTCCCTTCATTTTCTATTCTAACGGAATTCTCCACTCGAGACTGATCTCTATAAATTTCGATCCCATAGGCTCCCTTCATTCTCTGTTCTAACAGGATTCTCCACTCGAGACTAGTCTCTATAAATTTTGATCCCACGTATTAAATAGACATCTCTAATAATTTATTCCAACTTAGAGTGGACACTAAAATAAAATTAGTGGGTTATAAATTTGGAATATATAAATGGCACCTTATAAAAAATTCAATCATTAATTATATCCTTACGCTTGACTATTAAAATATAATGAAATATATGTATAGTTTACAAAAATTGACATTAGGCCATTTTCCAATGCTTATACGCAACTTGATACCAAACAAATTTGGCAATTAATCAAACATTTTTGAAGGTCAATTATTATAATCCATAGTTTGAATGATGAAATTTAGGCAAATAAATGAGTATTCCAACCAACCAATATTATCATAAACGATGCATTTAATACCATATGTCTCGATACTATTTAAGTTCATGTCTTCTATTTCAAAATAATAACAATATAATAATATACAAAGTAGTCGGGAATAAAGTTCTCAACGTTTCAATTGAATATCTTGAGGAATATACTTTTTGAGCAATATAGAGGAAAAAAACTTGTTAGTCATAAAAATTCGGATGTGATTAGGCTATCAAGTTGAACCGAATTATATCAGACCAAGGCCTACCGCTAATAGATATTGTCTTTTTTGAGCTTTCCCTGTTGGGTTTCCCTTCAAGGTTTTTAAAACACGTCTGCAGTCCCGTGCCTAGTAGATATTGTCTTCTTTGCGCTTTCACTTTTGGGTTTTCCTTCAAGATTTTTAAAACACTTCTGCGAGAGAGAGGTTTCCACACGGATCATCAGATGCCCATCCCCACTATAGCTAGTTCTCTTGCACAATCTCTAGTAGAGATAGAAAAATCATAATGGAGGCAAAAATCTCGTAATCTTTTGACTTTTATTGCTTCATTATTGTAACTGTTACCACATATTGTACTCTTTGGGTTTTCTCTCTCGGGCTTCCCCTCAAGGTTTTTAAAATGCACCTGTTAGGAAGAGGTTTCCACAACCTTATGAAGGGTGTTTCGTTCTCTTCTACAACCGATGTGGGATCTCATAATCCACCCCCCTTCGGGGCCTAGCATCCTCGCTAACACTCGTTCCCTTTTCCAATTGATGTGGACCCCCCACATTCATCCTTTCAGAACTCAATGTCCTCGCTAGCACATCACCCGGTATCTGGCTCTGATACCATTTGTAACGCCTCAAGTCTACCATTAACAGATATTGTCTTCTTTGGATTTTCTTTTTCAGGCTTTCTCTGTCATGCTTCCTGTCAAGGTTTTTAA